ATGGTACTTGATAACAGAGTTTAGCATTTCAGTGCCTTTCGTTTCAGTTGTTATTTCCATTAGTAAAAAAAAAAATGGATGTAAAAGTAATACCCTACAATTGGCAAGATGCAGGGAAACAATGATTCAGGCCCTCAGGCTTAGATTTAAGAGAAATAGCTTCAGACTAAAGACAGTTGCCACATGCACAGATGTCACTTTGATAGCTGTTAACAGATAGTTGGCAGAATGTTGAGGAGAACTGTGTGGCAAAACATTCTTCTTCCTTGCAGTCTCAAAGCATCAGAAAGAACAGAGAGCTAAATTCATGTCAAAGCAACTCAGTTGTACAGATGTATCAGAGCATCAGTCAGCAGAATTAAGAAGAGTTTTAGCTTTTAGCTTCCCCTTAGCAGGGAGAATTATACTCATTATATAAGGGCAACTCTACTCTGTGGCAGTCTGTAACACTGCAAGTGGTTTTGCTGTATCCAGGAATCACTACAATGTGACACGTCATCCAGCTGTCCCTACTGAACTGCCATGTAGTGGAAGTTTGTATGATGTGGAGAGAGGGTTCAACTTATAACCTTACCTCCTAATAACATTCTCAGACAGTGATTTTCTGTCTATGAGGAAATTTTATATTGCTGTAACAAAAAGGGTTGTGAATTTGGCCTTATATGATTATTTTTCAGATGAGGAATATTGATATCTGTTGATAAAAATAAAATCATGACATAAGGAAGGTATCACGTACAAAGAAAGAAGGATGCACTATCTGTTTCTAAGACCTTCTTGGAACAGTTTCATTATAAAAATTAGATAATATGTCCTTAATGTTATGGGTGTTTGTGGAAAGTTGGAAAGAGTATTCAGAATTTTATTTTTTTGTTAAAACCATATTATGTCGTGGTATCTTTTGGGGGTTTTTTATTTTGTTTTTTTGTTTTTTGTTTTTTTTTTTTCTTTCCAGTGACAGGCACAGTGAAGTGGTTTGATACATTTCTCTTAGCTAGAATAATGGACAGTCTGAAACAAAGGGGATCCATTTTTCTCCTGTCAGCGTGATAGTTTGAGTGTGAGACCAGTGCTTCATCAAGCACACTGGTGTATGTGGCAGCTATGTTACTGTTTTTAGGGTACTTCAAAATAACTAACACTACCATTTTTTTCCCCTCACATTTGAGTGAAGAAAATATATTAAAAAAAACCCCAACATATAGAACTGCTCCCTAAATAAAGAGATATTAAAACAACTTATTTAACTTTTTAATATTAATCTGTTTTTATCTTTTCAACTTTGTAAGTCAATTGTATTTCTCTTCCTTTTTCTTCCTGCTACATGTATTCTTCACACAGACTTTTAGTACTGATACTTTAATATATTACCTGCAGTGATACCTCTCTAAACTTCTGAACAGAAAAATACAACTCTTTACCCCAAAAACTCCTTCCAACAGAAAATTATGTGTAAATTTACACATAAATTAGAGTATTTGCCTATTCAGAAATGGTCCAATATTTTCATACATTCTTCTCCATTAGAATGACAGAAAAACCTTTCTGCAACCAAATTCCAGTCAGAAAATGGATTCATACTTTTTATCCGTGTTGTGTCAAAGCTACCAGATTTGAATCTAAAACTTTTTAATCTGCAGTCATTGTTTCTGATTGTAATCTGAGGATCATGTTTTGGCTCGTCTTTGCATGACAAAAAAGTCCCCAGTATGACCCCAAATAGAGCATGCCATTTACTTACCTACATAGAGTTTACTAATTTTATATAATGCTAAACTGGATTATCATCTGAGGATAACATTGCCTACAGCAATATGCTTTATAAACTACACCAGTACAATCTGCAAGTTTCACGCTGATGCATCAAAATCATCATGAGGGAAAAAAACAATCAAGCACTTGACTTAGTTCAAAAGATCTGCTGAGAAACTTTCTTAAGACTGGCACATTCCTCTTCTCCTGTGCTCCCCAAAACAGAATACCTTCATTTCAATGAATGAAATTTCTACTCAGCCATAGACAATCCTTTGGCAGTACAATCTACTGTTGCAAATCAGTGCGTTACCTTCAGTGGTCAGTTCCTCTGGGATGATGTTTATTGCACCCTGTTGGATTTGAGACAAAGAAGATGAATCTATTACTGATCTTGTATTATAAATCAAAAAACCTGTCTCTTTTTGGTTTTCTGAAGTTTATGATATTCTTGTTCTTATTCAAGGAGTTCATATCAAATCCTTTTGTTCCTTGAAACAGAAGTGAACTGTAGCTGGAACCAATATATGAAAGTTAATCGCCATACTGAAAAGATATAGCATGGCATTTTCTTTCCTGTACATCTCCTAAAAGTCAGCTTTAGCTTTTTGACACAACAGAACAAATTCTTAAGAGCCACAGTGTAATGGAAAGCAGCTAACCTCGAGGAAGAAAGAAAAATGCCAGATGCTCTTCAGCTCTATGAAACCAAAATGCAATGAAGGATTTTTTTTTTTTTTTTTAATTTATTCAGCTTCACCAAGATGGAGTGCAAGTACATGTGCACAGCACATGTCATAAAACATTTACCAAAGTTTTGTGTTTAAAGACATTAAATTCAAAATATTCACATTATGTTGCTCTTATTACTACTGGAAGGACTACCTCTACTCCCTCTATTACTTTTAGTTCACACAATGGAATGATGGAATACAGAAAAGAAGAAACTACTTGGTTTCATATTTCAAGGACAAATGTTATTTATTATAACTTTGCCTGTCTGCCTTTTTAGATCAATTCATCCAGATTATTTAATTTTGAGATAAA